ACCTTTAAAGCAATCATTAGAATAATAATTTGTTTCTTTTAGTCTATAAACAAAACATCAATGTTATGAGTCTACATTTAATATTATAATAATGCCTTCTTTACAACTTCCACCGGAAGTAAATAACTTCAAACTGAGATTGCAATTATAGTAGTATTTCACCTCGGGTTTCTCGTATGGTTCGTTTTGCTAAATCTTTATTGTTCTATATAATATGATGTTAGTGATGTTTGTTTATTTGTTCGTTTTCATTGTTTACCATGCAGTGTTGTCATTGTTTATTGAACTACTGTTAAATGATTATACTTGGTAACGTTTCCTTATTTTTAAAGCATTGATCTTACATGTAGCTTGGATTCAAAGGTGCTTACCGTGTAGCCAGAACTGCTTACCCTCCTGAAACATCTAAAGTGTCACTCTCGACAAGTTATAAACAAGCTAGCCAATTAATTCGTTTCATATATTAACTCATTCATAAATGAGAATTATGGTATACATTTACTCATAAACGTGTATTTCATATCATGTGTATAGGTACGTTTCAAAGTTTGATGACAATTTATGGTGGCAACTTCAAAATAGTTATTTGGATATTTCGAATCCGTTAAAATAACTTCAGACTATGCTCTTTGTTATTTGTAAGAAATGTTTGTGACCCTCATATGTATCGTGTTTTTCTCTCACTTTTATATTTGGCAACGGCTAATATAACAATAATATCAACCGTAAATCCATTTCCATTAAAACAATTTTTTGAGCAGATATGATTTAATTAGACTAGAGTTTATTACAGATATAAACAAATAAAAATGAAAAACACCTGGACTGGGGAATAAAAAAAAACTTGTGTAAAGTATGGTGTTGGACTTAAATCTTTTTAGAATCTCGTACACATTTTACTTACAATATACTATTTCCCATAGTGTGATATTTAAACATACTCCTTTTATTATTATGATAATGTTATACTTCTTTTTGTTTATCTAAATTATAAATACCAAGTCAATAATCCAGGTCAATAACCAATATCATCAGTAAAACCGTACACTAGCCAATAATACAGCAGTCAATAAAATGAAGTCTTATATGTAAAATATTCATAATATATTCAAATTAGAATTTAAGTTTTATGTTTCACAGTTCTACCTTTAAATACACGACATACGTATATAACCATTATTTGATTTAAATGTAGAACGTTGTTGTCATTGATTTTTTACCTTACCTGTGTATTATTCATTGAGGACGATACGCGACAAAATGGCACAGGCAGCCTCTAAAACATGTGAAATTTGTGTCAGTGCCTATGGATCCCAATACTGCTTAGAGTGTGAACAATACTTCTGTGAAAATTGTAAAACCTTTCATAAAAGACAGAAAGTAACAAAGAATCACCAGTTTCAGTCTTCCTCGGACGTTATACCGGAAGGTAAATCGAAATGTAAGGAACACAACGAAGACATCAGTTTTGTATGCAAAACATGTAATTTAGTAGTGTGCAGTAGTTGTGTGACTGGCAGTCACACAGGGCATGCCTTTTCAAAGCTTATGGACAACATAACACAGATGAAGGAGAAGAATACAAAAGACCTGCGTAGTAAGGTACATGAGGCAACTCAAAACATTAAAACGATAGAGGAAGGTTTAAAGGCATTTGATGTGAAGGTTGAAGGAGTAGTCAAAGCTATTACAGAAGAAGGTACAAAGATAAAGGCTATGGTTGATACATGTGTCGCACAGATGATTGCATCGGTCAAGGATCAATCCAGGAAGGAAAAGGACAAATTGACAAAAATCATAGCAGATACTAAAATAGATTTGAAGGCGGGAGGCGACTTAGAAAAGAAGAAATGTGAACTCGACAAGACACGAAACGATGGCAAATTGTTACAGTCGTTACAGAAGCTTACAGATGACATTACAAAGCTGACGATAGAGCCTATACCCGAATTTCCGAACATACAGTATACTGCTAAGCCTGTAACAGATAACGACATCAAACAACTGTTTGGCATCTTCAAAATAAGGTAAATCCACTGAAATACCTGAGAAGAGTATTGTTTTGTAGACTACATTCTGTAGTCGTAATACATACTTTAATATATCTATATTATTTGAAAGTGACATGTATTTTTGCATAATCAAAATTCTGTTTTTGAATATCAATGTATTTCTGAATTGAATCCCATGAAAGACGCAGGGGAGACAATGCATTCAATAAAACGAGGTGGTCATTAATAATGTATTGTTTATAATGGAATAACAATGGACTCTAGTAAATAGACATGTGGTCTATGACAATGCACATTTTTAATTGTATTCACAATGCACTCGGCTCTACGTAAACTTATGAAGTTATTCAGGAATACTTGTTTTCAAACTGGCACAGAATATCTGTTTCCCTCATTTTTAAAATGTTTTGTTTTGATATTATGCATTTAAGGAGTCATATGTAAATACTTCATTTTTATTTTGACAGAGGAGTACGTACACAACATATCGGAAACAGAGAGAAAGAATTACCTAAACCAAAAAGGTAGGGCAATATGTTTGTATATTTTACAGTGTTAATTTTACGCTTAAAACAATGTAAACTTTTCGTCAAATCTTTAAGTGAATCACACATTATCTTCGTGTATACCTGAATGTCTTTTAAGGAAATGAAGCCCTCTTTCCATGGTTCTGGATAAATTTGTTTCCTATATTGTGTAAACCAGTGCACCGTTTTACTGTTGACACATTTACTAGTTACATGTATGCACTTATCTTCATTACATTGTTCCTAAGTAGCAGTTTTTTTAAAGCCGTATTTGCTTAATTTTCTTGATATATATTTCACCAACTCACATTTTTTTTTTTAATATTTTGTTTTGCTTCGATTTACATCTTCTACAAAGTCATTTGTAATGCGTTGCATACGTTAGCAAGCACTAACTCGAGTAGGATTGCGTTTAAGTAATTAATACTGATAATGATGTGCAAACGTACAGCGTAATTTATTTTCGTAAATATACTGCTCGTTAAAATGTTTCTGCTTGTCTAGTTAAAGATTTAGAACCTATTGATACTTTAAATTTACGATATAACCATGATATTGAATGTAAAAGGCATTCATCATAGTTATCCGCACTAGTAAGGCAAAATATGCATAGTATAAGCTAAGGACACCATACTGTTTTCAAACGACATTATCAAGTCTTCTTTTAATTGTGTATATGTAGTTTTATGTTAACTTGTGTTTGTCCTTTCGTCAATTTTCAGTATTTGCCATAGTGTTTCCCATATGTCTTCGACGTATGAGTTTGAATGTCCTCTTTGATATTTTCCACCTCTTTTTAAAATATTCTCGATTCACAAGAATATTTAAGATCGACTGTTTGCTTAAGGGTACAACGACTTCAGCAGTAACATTCACAATCGACTGTTGATAAAGCGGTCAACGACTTCAGCAGCCGCATTCAAAATCGACTGTTGATGAAGGGGTGAATGACTTTAGCAGTCACATTCACCATCGACTGTTAGAAAGGGTTCAACGACTTTAGCATTCATATTCACAATCGACTGTTGATAAAGTGGTCAACGACTTCAGTAGTCACATTCACAATCGACTGTTGATAAAGGGGTCAACGACTTCAGCAGTCACATTCACAATCGACTGTTGATAAAGGGTTCAACGACTTTAGCAGTCACATTCACAATCGACTGTTCATAAAGGGGTCAACGAATTCAGAAGTCACATTCACAATCGACTGTTGATGAAGGGGTCAACGACTTCAGCAGTCACATTCACAATCGACTGTTGATAAAGGGTTCAACGACTTTAGCAGTCACATTCACAATCGACTGTTCATAAAGGGGTCAACGAATTCAGAAGTCACATTCACAATCGACTGTTGATGAAGGGGTCAACGACTTTAGCAGTCACATTCACAATCGACTGTTGATAAAGGGTTCAACGACTTTAGCAGTCACATTCACAATCGACTGTTAATAATGGGTTCAACGACTTTAGCAGTAACATTCACGAATATCGAAGGAAGTTAGTAAAATTGTTTCGTTTGTATATTATCATTGAATGAACTTAACAGAACACTGCCAGTTATTTTTATAATGTTTGGAATAATCGTATATAACACAATTCTATAATAATATTCTTGTAATGGTTAGAAAATACATCAAATAGCACCATCACTAACGTAATCCCAATTTCATATTGTATTTTTAGAAATTTACCTGTGACGTCGCTTTTTGTGGCGTTGATACATTCGTGTGATTCAGAGTTCATTATTCTATTGTGCTGTATTTGTGATCTGTCGTAAATTAATTTTAGGTGTTCGTTGTTATTCTGTGGTTTACATGTTGGGATGGGCTATGGTATAGTTTGTTTATGTATTTCTCTGTCCTGAATTTCTTGCATTTATTGATACTTTATTCCTGTCACGTAATTTTGTCATTTTAGCGGTATTTTTAACATTGCTATATAAGCGGGAGGTTTGGCTAGCCATAAAACCAGGTTCAACCCACCATTTTTTCTTAAAATGGCTTGTACCATTTCAGGAATATGGCAATTGTTATCACATGGTCCGTTGTTATGTATGCTGGCGTTTGTTTTTGTAACAGTTCAGTGTTTCTGTTGTTCCGTTTTGTTTCCTCTTATGGTTGATGTGTTTTCCTCAGTTTTGGTTTGTGACCCGGATTTGTTTCAGTTAAATTGATTTATGACTATTGAACAGCGATATACTACTATTGCCTTTATATATAGCTTCTTCAATTAAACTGTACTGCAAATTGTTAAATCTAAAGACCTCATCAGTTCATGCGGTTTTTTGCTGTAAGAAAGACGGGGGAAAGGAGGGAAAAGTATATGCAAAGCAGAAATAGTTCTATAAGGATTTTACGATATAGATAAGAATGTCATTAATTCATTGCTACCTTGTGTTTATATCGTCACATTAAAAAGAGTTTAATTTTATTTTAATTAATTGTGTTGTTTATTACAGTGATTACGAAAAGGATACGAAACGAAAAGAGGAAGGAAAATACCTGTACAGATGTATCGGGTGTGGGTAAGTTCCTTAATATTGTTTTTATGGACATGACGTAATATGTATATTTATATTATATTAGGAACATACTCTACAAACCAGAAAAAATCTGAAATTGCCTATATCTTTACTCGACTGTACTGATTTTTACTCGACCAGTCTGACTTGGTGTGAAACTTACTTGATATTACTCGAGCGAAATCTGAACCATACTTAACAGTCTGAACTTATACTCTACCAGTACTGAACCATTTTATATGTGTCTGAACTATTCTCGATCAAGTCTGAACCAGGCTCGACCTGGTCTGAACCATACTCGACCTAGTCTGAACCCTACTCGACCAAGTCTTAACCAACCTATTTCTGTGTCTATCTATTGTATTTCATCAATTTAGGAACTTTTTTAACAACAGCTATTCCCCTTGGTTAGAAATTTAAACAACAATTTGAAATCCACAATGTATTTAATTTAGCATTGAAACTAAAATTTCACAATAAACATAATATAATCATCAACACCATATTCATCAACACTTATACATATATATATATTTGTGGTCTAGAGCGCTGGACACAGCGCAGGCGGTGTTGTCACGATATCCCAATTGCATGATTTTGAATCCCGGCGAGGGAAGAACAAAAATTTGCTTCCGGAAATTTGCAGATTTAACATTGTTGTGCTGATATTTAGAGCAATTATGAATATAATATGTGTTTACAGCCGTGCATCACCTTCACTGGTGATCCTGTAGATGGATCTGTCGTAGAGTTGTCACTTGTTTAGCTGTACTTATCAAATAATTATTTCTGTGACTACATCTTACGATCCTTTACGACAGATAATTTAGCTAATCTGCAATCAATTCCATCTGCACGCCTAATATATCATGTACTGTGTTACAACTCTAGCTTCTACTGACGAGGAAAGGTTACACTAGGCCACCGAACGCTGAATGTTTAGTTCAGTCTAGGTGGTCTACAGCGCTGGACACAGTGCAGGTGGTGTTGTCACGATATCCCAATAACATGAGTTCGAATCCCGGCGAGGGAAGAACAAAAAATTGCTTCCGGAAATTTGCAGATTTAACATTATTGTGCTGGTATTTAGAGTAAATATGTATATATATATATATATATATATATACAATGAATATAACCTTTGAAATAAAAATAAAACAAGATGACCAAAGAAAGTTATTTCTGGTAGGATTAAAAAAATATCATGTTTTATATACCTACAAAGGTATACTTTTTGTTGAAGACCGTACTGTGACCTATAATGGTTTACTTTTATAAATTTTGACTTGGATGGAGAGTTGTCTCATTGGCACTCATACCACATCTTCTTATATCTATATAAAGAGTTATTTTCTTCAGAACTATAGGTCATTCTTTTGAAGAATCAACCTGGACGATACCAAGTTTCAATGAAATTTGCTTCAAGGCATAACATATATAAGGTCATTATTTTTTTCTGGTTAAAAAGCAAACTTTAATTTACTTGAACATTAAAATCGTTTGATAGCTATCGTGTGGTGTTGCCAATTGAGGGTTTACTTTTTAATACCATATTTCGTAGGTTTAAGGCAGAAACAATCCTTTATTCCGTTTATTAGACTGACATACCTAAAATCGTCGTTGACGCACATTTTAACTTCCAAAACAAATAATGTGAAGTTTTGTTTATTTATCTATACAATAAAGGGGCATTATGTGAGATGAATTTAATATTGCAAACATTTCCATAACACTTTAAATCAAGCCATATTTAACACATTATGTGTAGGATTTTAAAAATCTTATATTTTCACATTGTATTGGAAATCATACTTTGACCTATGGATATACGTTTTTCGTGTTACATGTACATGTATCACGATTTCGTGCTCTCTTCATGCCAGTTGTTTTCTACATTTGTATATGCCTTTTACTCCATCTAATCAAATGATCCAACATTCGTATTTTCTGTAGAATAACAGCCATGTACTTTAAAATGGGGAGGGGATATAATATGTATTCCTAGTTTTATATAAAAACAAGTTGTATTGCCAAACAAAAGAGAGAAAACAATTACTCTGAATTGTTCGTTTACAAAATTGTTGAAAAAATCTGCTTTTCCGCGATAAAAATGTCATGAAAATAGACAAAGAAAAGCATCTTTCTTTTATAAATAAAGTTGATACAATAATTTACTTACGAAGTGACCTTTGTATTTTTCATACACCGTAACAATTCAGTTGTGTCTTGCTTCATGCCGTTACAGTTATATTTCTATTCAAACTGGACAATGATTTCTAACGTTTATATATCTAGTTTAATTAGTGAGTTTCATTACACATTATAAATGAGCCGTAGGGTATATTAAAACTTGACCACATCAGAAAAGAATATCCCACTTTTGTGTTGTCGGTAAAATAGGATGTAAATAATGCAAAACTTTGCAGAAAATAATATTTATAGACGGTATATAAGTCAGATAATGCATATTATAAGGTTTTTCTTGTCGTATAACACACCTCGGGGTGTCAAGATTGCCCAAAGAAAGACCTACGGTCGGTCTTTCATTTGACTAATCCTGACACCCCTCGGTGTGTTATACTTCAAGAAAAACCTTAAAATATGCATGATCTATAACATAAATTAAGTTTTCGGTTAAATAAATTTGTATATACATAATGTCATGTTCACATTGCACAATGCACATCAAAAATACTAGAACTTTCAACCATTATTCAAATACATATCTTAAATTGTATTCAAAATTATTTGAATGTTTCAGATATATTTTATGATTACTAGAAAATTTTCAACACTAACTTAAGCCTGGTATAAATTTATGGTGTCAGTCGAGTTTAGTTAATAACGCAGTGGACTTTTTTTTTATTGTATATAATGTAACTTAATAAATTAAAAAAATGACACCCATGTTTTGTAAAATGAAGAATTTAATATTATAGAAGTTCCAAAGCAATCCCTGATAGCCTTTTAAAAAATGAATTGTGTTCCAAAATTGCAGTAACAATTTAGGTTGATTAATTAAGTTTTGTCAAAATTAAAGACATGGCATAAAAGAAGATCTTTAATAAGGTTAAATTAACTCAGTACATGTGTATTTTACAGGTAAAAAGAAAACCCTATTTTCTTAAACTCTTGTGAATTATCCAGTGAATTCAAAAGCCCTTGTGATTTAAGTTTTACAGGATGTTGTTTAATTTTCAATGGATGTTATTTAAAATGTATTCCTCTCTCACAACGTGTGATCTTTTTAATGAGCGTGCCCCAAGCAAGAGGTATTACTTTATAGTTTATACCTTTTTAGAAGAACATTTTTAATCAATTTATATATATATATATATATCCCAATATTCGCGTGTGCCATCAGTGATATGAATGGACGTATATTAGTTACTTGGATACCGAACTTTCCAAAATAACTAAGGTTATAAAAATAATATACTCATATATTGGTAAAACATTGCAGTTTTGTTTTGTTGATAATTCCAGAACAACATTGAACAACTTAACCACAATCCTCAATAATGAACGGTAAATCGTACATACATTAATCATATTTTAACAGTGAACTGTATGTTCTACGATACGACATTTGCCCTTTTTCGATGGTTATGTTTCAGATTATTTAAAACAATAAACCGCCTCATAATTGATAACAAAATGTTCAATAGAAGCATAATGCATAGCTCTCAATGCAGCGTATACTTATCAATTTAGACATTTTACGTTTGTATTAAATTTTAGATACTCATATTTGCTGAGTCAATCATCAACTAAGAGACATTCATTGTCGTAATACACGTCTGATGCAGAAAATGTAATGCCGTTAATGTTATCATACTAATGTTATCTTTGTCCATAACGATTTTGGAGTGGTTAACTCACAATACAATTCAACAATAGGTGGTAAAATGACGTAAATCAACCACATTTTATTTGAACCCATTTGTTTTGCTTTGGAAATGCTATCTGAGTAAACGACAACACATCTATCAGTATATTTGTTTGGGAATCTGATACCATTGATCTGTTTCGTCTTTCAGAAAGGAAGAGAGATCTGATTAGTAAGTATTATCTACGTTTTTTGTAAGTGACAAATAGTCAAAACAGTCATTTACTACAGACATGATTTTGAAATATATCTAAACACTAGGCTCGTTCGGATAATAGACAACCCGTAACTATAGGCTAAATATTTAACAATGACCATTAAATACATACATCTTTGATACAAAACCTTTATGATAAAGGTATATATTACCATGATTCAGATTTGTTTATGTGCTCCGGTCATTCAATTCAATGTTGAGGTGTTTGACTAGATTTTTTTAGATTCCATTTCCTCCATTATCTTATTTCAACCAGGCATTTAATAACTAAATCATGACTTTCATGATAGAGGGTTACTGATAACACAGAAGACATTGATCCAAATACTAATGTTAGTGGCATCCCTAACAGATGTTAAATGGCTTTTCGGACGCGATCATAGTGGCATCCCTGAAATCGCTTTGTGGACCCGATCATAGCTTGGTTGACATATTTGAAATATTTGTATTTCATATAACTATGAATATGCTTCGCTTGTCATAACAACAATCTTTCCTATTTTACCTCAAAAGACTTGCATCCCTGAAATGGCTTTGCGGACCCGATCATAGTTTGGTTGACATATTTGACATATTTGTGTTCCATATAACTATGAATATGTTTCGCTTGTCATAACAACAATCTTTCCTATTTTACCACAAAAGACTTACAATGGAAATTTTCATGACCAACACGACGGATGCTAGGTCTTCTTTGTATAGTTTTGTTATTGTTGTTTGTCCTTTTATCGTTTATTTTGTTGACATGATGTTGTTTGTTTTCGTTGGATTTTCCAGTGCCCCCTTGTATCGTGTCTAAAATGTATTTTAAAACAATGAAGAATTGACATCTAGTATACTGGTAATGAACAAGAAAATTTGGATCCCATCTGAATAAGTCGATATGAACCGCATGTAACACGTATTCCAATTTAACTGTCAGACCGATGTTGTTTTTCATTATGTCGTCAACCTGTCTGCAATACATTAAGAAATACTTTATATGAAATTTTAAACAAAACGCATTGTTGCCTTGTTTGGAACATTATCAATATTCAGAATTGTCATGTGTCGTCTTAACATTTGCAATACTACATACATATATATCAAATGTTTCCTCTTAACCAGTATAAATATTTGAATTCTACAAAATAGGAACAATCCAGGGAAATAATTACACTAGTGAAGTCCAAATACGTTAAATGAAAATGATAAAAAACACCTTGCAAAGTTCTTTGATTCCACAATCGGAAATATCGACAATGTTTTGTAATTCAATAACCCACATTTCCGCGAGTGCTTACACCTCATATACCGAAAGTAGAAGATCTGCTTTATATCTTGTTAATTTTTTTTCAAAATTGACACAATCTAGAATCTATGACAAACGATTTCAACTTTCAATTTCTCAGCACTAACATACTGATTCGACATTACAGAAGTTCACAGTTACAATCACGGATTGGTTGATCTGTTCGGTGGTTCTCAACTAACTAACGACATATTTGGGTTGTCTTAGAGCTTTGTATATAAGAACAGTCATCTGATCTATAAATTTACCGATTGTGTCGTATTCCCGATAGTGACGTTTTGACTAAGTATGGACTGGTGAGTGATGCATGCATATCAGGTATCATTTGTCCCATTGACGCACGCCGACTAGCTCCTGTTGGAGATCATGCATATCAGGTATCATTTGTCCCATTGACGCACGCCGACTAGCTCCTGTTGGAGATCATGCATATCAGGTATCATTTGTCCCATTGGCGCACGCCGACTAGCTCCTGTTGGAGATCATGCATATCAGGTATCATTTGTCCCATTGACGCACGCCGACTAGCTCCTGTTAGAGATCATGCGAATCCCCGAGTTTTGTTTTTTTTTTTTGCTTGGTTTCCCTCTTCTTATTGAATTAATGAAATTTGAGCATCAGTTAAATATGTTTCAATCTAGATATTGTTCTCTCTGAGTGATTTTGAAAGAGGAAGTTACTAAAATGAAATTTACTCTGTTTTATCAATATTCAATTTGCTAGATCTAAGTATCAAGCAAAGTCTAACAACTATTAAACAAATGTAATTATCTAGTTATTGAAGTACTCCATTGTGTAAGCTTCAACAAACATATCAAATCAAATGTAACGACGACTTTAAATGGCTTAATTTCCCTAAAGTCAGTTTACAACTATAAAAATCGAGCATACCTTGTAGTGTTCCTTTACACATACTATCCTTTCTGAGGTCTGTGTTTATATGATTAATTTAACTGGACAGACATCTGCACTTCTTTTTAAATGTACAGCCGAAATCATTCAATCAATTCACTACAATATGTTTACTATATTTTATAAATTGTATACATTGATGTTTTTGAGATTATGATGTTTTGTATCGTGAGTAGCTTAACATATTTTTCCAGATATTAAACTCGTAAGCAGGTGTTATTTATTTATTGGGCTTCATAAATCATATGTAAACAAATGTGATATTAATTGTTAGATGTCTTTAGGTGTAATACCACCATTGACTTTCCCTATTAGTCTTTGTTAAGTATGCACTTTTCAAAAAATTGTGCAGAATTTATTGTTGTTTTCAAATAAAGAAATATTGGGCATGAGTAAAGTTTTATCTTGTCCAGTACTACATAACATTTCATTGCATATAAGATAATAACCATCACTGTAAGTTAACCAATCAAATGTCAACCCTTTTCTTTCCTGTTTACAAGCTTAAGTAACCATGTTACTTAAAGTTTCCAAAATATTTAATAAAACACTAAATAAAAAAAGATGGTGCTTTAAAACACCCAAGATATATGTTGATGACTCGGAATTTGTTTACTGCAATGAAATGTAAGATTAATTTCCTACAACTGTCAAAGTCAAGGGAATATTTTTTTCGACCCTTTTTCGTATGCACGGGATGTGACGTACTATGATTTGGTGGTATTGCACCTTAATTCCCCCCAAAGTTTGATTATAGAATAATGAAAATAAACAATATGTTATTGTCTTCCTTAACAATAATCTGAATATACTTATTTCTCTTTATTAGCAATCACGTATACGAAAATGCAGTTTCAACTTTAGAGCCATAAACACTTTAAAACAATATATTGATCATATTTTTTTTAAAATTGATGAAGTGGTGTTTTTTTTATATATATATATATATATATTTATTAAAACTTGTATTTTTATTTTTTTTTTCAGTGCAATGTAAGTGTCTTGTACCAAACAGATAAGTATACAGTAAATTGTGTATGTAATGTTTTTATTCAAATTAGGAAAATATAAAATTTTCAGTAGATAAAGACGCAATTCCATAGAAGTAAAAATACAACCTATTCGTATATGAGAATCATAGAGATATTGTCATTTTTAATATAAAACATACGCCATAAGTAACAATCCTTTCGATTCAGTTAATGTAAAATGTCAGCAGAACGAATGTCTCATATCATATGCGTAAAAAAAACACCTTTAAAAGGAGAAGGTAATATTGAGATCGTATTGTTATTAAAACTTTTTTTTTTCATACTTTTAAGATTATTTCGAAACGTTTCTATCAAATGTCTAATCAAATACAGGTAAACATTTAGATACATGTATTCACGTAAATAATGAATAGATTTTTGGAACTAGTTTTTAAAATATATCCTAAATTATAACTTGAAAATTTTCTGATCAACCTTTTCTTATGCTAAACACATACAGCTTATGCACTTTTGTCAGATTGAATTAATTGATATCATTGTTTTTAATTTTTATTTCCATAAGATAGAAGATCTGTATTTGAAATAAACACACTTATTCGGAAAGCGTTTTGTGTTCGTGCTGATCAACAAAGCAACCAACAACATTGTATTGGTACGACGTAAACACTACACCAACGTTTTTGAAGAATGAAACTATTGTTTTGGTCTAGATTCAATACCTTAGTGTACATACATATTCAATCCGTAGACAATCATACCGTTACCGCATCTCAACTTTAGCCCTCTTTTGAAAATTTGAATGCCTTACTGTGAGTTCGCCCTCACATATATAAATAACCATTCAAATGATGATAAATAGAAGAGAACATCCTTACTATAGTTATAGTTAATGTAGTTATGTCGTATATGATGCTCATAAATATACAAACAATCCATGTAAACGTATGGTTTTCCTAAATAAAAATAATCTTAAAGGTTATCATTTACTTTTGGAATGAATAACATTAATTTTGTTGCAAACATTTAATACGTAACTAAACATCCTCTTCATTTGATCTCTAGTGGATTGTTGTCTGTTTTGGTAATCATACCACACCTTGTTATTTATATAGGTATTGTTATCCATAACACGTATGGTCCTATATCTTATCGAAATCTATAGTTAAGCACAGTATATGATCATGCTTTTGTTTCATCACTAGTGGATGGTTGTCTCTTTGGTAATCATACCACACCTTGTTATTTATATAGGTATTGTTATCCATAACACGTATGGTCATATATCTTATTGAAATCTATAGTTAAGTACAGTATATGATCATGCTTTTCGCAGACAGTTAATGCCATTTTTACACTTAACAGTCGATTTGTATTTTGTAAACAAAACGCGTGCCTGCTTCACCAAATTATAATACAGGTGTCCTGGTGTTTTTACAATAACCTGTTTTATGCGACTGTGGTGGATATTTCGTTTCTTAAAGTATCACCAGTACAAAAGCCAGCACTTTTGTTTTGAAATGAAATATTATTGATATAGTCATTTTATAAATTAACTGTTTACAAAGTGTATTCTAGCTCTAAAAATTTTACATCAAGGCATAAATGACCTTGACCGTATACAGTTGGGTGCAGACCAAGCATTACATGTAGACGCAAGGAAAAAGTTAACGCGGCGTTTACTCAAAAAATGTAGTAGACATAAAAAGCAAACGGGTGTTTACTTTCGCGTTTACCTCAGCGTTAAAAATGCTTATAACTTTTTTTATTTATAATAGGATTTATCTCAAATTTGAATATAATAAGATTTCATCATTTAATTTTTAAATACAAGAAACAAAAAACGAAAAATATTTGAAAAACTTTCGAAAACGTGACCTGAGAAACGTTAAAAATGACAGGACAAAATGTAAATGCTGATAGCTTTTTTATTTCTCAAATGATTCATCTCAAATTTGAAATATAATAAACCTGATAATTGAGTACTTTTTATACTGTGTACTTGTTTGGCTTTATAACTATTTTGATCTGAGCGTCACTGATGAGTCTTATGTAGACGAAACGCGTCAGTCGTATTAAAATATATAATCCTGGTACCTTTGATAACTATTTATACCTCCGAATGGATAATAGACACAAAAGTGATGAAATTTAAGTTTAAAATTGCAAAACTTGTTGTCACATTAGAACAGCGATAACAATGAAATGTGGCACTAATTAATATTCTTGTACTGGCCTGATAATTGAGTACTTTTTTTGTACCTCAGGATGGATTGTTAGACAAAAAAGTGAAAAAGTTAATTTTATAATTGCAAAATTTTTTGTTGCATAAAAAAAAGTGCTAATACTTTCCATTTTGTTAGAATATTAAACAACAGCATTAACATTCTGTTCTGTTTGTCCCTTATGACGAATAGTTTTGTACAAATTGAGAGCTCTATAAGTCTACATTTACTAATATTTGTGTTGATAACAATAAAAAGTGATAATATTTCCTTTTTTTTTTATTAATATTCTATTACTGGCCTGAGAGTTCAGTACTTCATATACCTCAGAATTGATTGTTAGACATAAAAGTGAAAAAATCCCAGTTTAAAATTGAAAAATTTGTTGTCGCATCAAAAAAAAAAGGTGCCAATATTTTCCATTTTGTTAGAATATTATATACCATTAAAATTCTGTGTCGTTTTGTCCCTAAGAATGAATAGTTTTACACAAATTGAGAGCTCTATGAGTCTATTGTGACTAACATTTATGTCGATAACAATAAAAGGTGACAATATTTCTTTTTGAATTAATATTCTAGTACTGGCCTGATAATTGAGTACTTTTTATACCTCAGGATGGATTGTTAGACATAAAAGTGAAAAAAATTAAGTTTATAATTGCAAAATTTGTTGTCGCATAAAAAAAAGTGCTTATATTTTCCATTTTGTTAGAATATTATACAACGGCATTATAATTCTGTTCTTTTTGTCCCTTAGAATGAATAGTTTTACACAAATTAAGAGCTCTCTATGTATACGGTTACTAATATTTATGTTGATAACAATAAAAAGTGACAATATTTCTTGTTTTTATTAATATTCTAGTACTGGCCTGATAATTGAGTACTTGTTATACCTCAGAATGCATTGTTAGACATAAAAGTGAAGAAATTTAAGTTTATACTTGCATAATTTGTTGTTGCAAAAAAAAAAACCAACGGCAATACATTTCTGTTCTTTTTGTCCCTAAGGATGGATATTTTTACACAATGACATATAGGTTTGCACAAATTGAGAGCTCTATAAGTCTACGGTTACATATATTTATGTCAATAACAATAAAAAGTGACAACATTTCTTATTTTTATTAATATTCTTGTAGTGGTCTCATATTTGAGTAGTTTTTTTTTTTACATCAGAATGGATTGTTAGACATAAAAGTGAAGAAATTGCATCAATATAAGGTGTCAGTATTATAACCTTGGTAAAAATATTATGTTACAGCATTAACATTCTGTTCTTTTGGTACATAATGAGGGGCATTTTTACACACATTGAAAGCTCTTCAAGTCTACTGCCAATTAAATGTATAACGATATAAATAAACAAAAAATCTTTTTATATAATTGTAAAAGGGAAGGAATCATTTCAACGATTTTTGTTTATAAAAACAATTCCTTATGTCTGCAGGGATGAACAGGTTTAATAAAATCGACATGTACATCATATATATAAATGTTGATCAACTAAATCATGCTTAAATTCAGTAAACCATGAACTACGGCGAATATTTTGAAATAAGTGTATTGTCTGAAAACAAAGTTTCATAGATCATTTATGTCGTCTGTTTTATTTCAAGTCTTGAAACATTGCCTAGTTAAATCTACCGTAATGAATATTATTGTTAACACATAAAACTTTCTTTTTTTTTTTAAAGTTTTGCAGAATTTACTTATCCAATAATTTCTGAAAATATTTTTTAACGATATTTTATTTATCTATCATTTACAAAATATGGATATTCCAATAAGCCAGAAAAACGTATATATATAATTTCCACACATAGGTAACGGGAATAGTAAACGCGTGTTTCCTAAGTGCACATACAGGTAAAGATGTTAAATCTGGTAAACGCAAACATTGGAGTCAACAAATCTAATATGTGCACGCAGCGTCAAGGTGCGTTTACTTTATGTTTTGCTTGGTCTGCATCCAACTGTAGGTCTCATTTTTTTGTAATATTTGCTTTAAAATGCCCTTCAATTTTGTATTTGAATGCAACTCCAACGAGGAGCATGATGTAAACAAAGATTGCGTCTGGCGTACCAAGTTATAATCATTGTATCTCCACTGAAGATTTTCATAAGGTTTAGGTTTTTGCTCAAAACCATATGGTGAGCTGTAATGTTTCACATTTTTGTGTTTTTGTCTGTGGAATTATCCCGGATATGAACGTTCATTTGTCATATTTGCGATGAATTTAATAACCTGCTAACAGTTTTGTATCATAAGCTGAGCAGAAATGCATTCCAATGTGTGAATGAAGATGTAATTAAACTTCAAACTTGAATGGTTGAGAACAAACGAGGAAATTTATTTGGTCTCTGTTTGAAAATGTTACTAATCAGAAAAAATGATTTCTGTTATTTGATGAAAACATCTAAATATTGTCTACTACAGGCATGGGGCGAATTACATTGAAATGTAATGCATTATAATACAATTATTTTGACAAAACCCTGCATTAAATTACAATTACAATTACATGCGTTTATCAAAGTAATGCATTAAATTACAATTACTTTTGCAAAGTAATGCATTCAATTACACATTACATTTGATAATTTTTTTATCAAGTGAAAACAAAAATCGAACATTTTGAAAAACAACATGAAATCACAAAAGATTCTAGCATATGCAGTAACTGTATATTGAATTTAAGTATGTAAAAAGTCTTTTCAATACCACTATTGAATTTCAACATCATAAGGGTTTTGAAGGTTTCATGATGAATGATATTTCTGGCTATCCGACTGTTTCACTAAACCTATCATAGTTGATTGCTCACTATCTTTGGTTTTAATGTTACAATGTATACTATCTGTGTTTTCTCTAAAAACAAATTACAGAGATGAATTTTAATACTAACTATAACTTAATGCTAACTTTACTTTTATAGATATATACAATTGTGTTTTTTTTTAAATTTCAATCAATACATTTACTCAGAATTTCTTTCCTAAATTAGTCTAATTATATAATAAACATAGAGCTTAATTTATGAACAAGAGTCAAAATGGTAAAAAGATCATTGTAAAATAAACTAATTAGTGTTTTGTGACAATATTCAATTATCTGTTATTTAATTATAACAAGATATCCATTGATATTTTGACAACAATGGAACACTTTTACAATAAAACT